GAAATTATACTAAAATTATACTAAAATAATTATTCACCTCACCGATAATCACCTCGCCTTCGGCGAATAATTGATAATTAATTGTTTATACGTATCAACCGGCTATTAGTAAAACACGGAGCACGGAGCACGGAGCACGGAGCACGGAGCACGGAGCACGGAGCACACGGAGCACACGGAGCACGGAGCACACGGAGTACGGAGCACACGGAGCACGGAGCACACGAAGTACGGAGCACACGGAGTACGGAGCACACGGAGCACGGAGCACACGAAGTACGGAGCAGTAGAAAAACGAAAATCCTTTATAATAAAATACACTGTTTACTATTCCAAATTTTTGTTATTATTAACAAAGTTTTTTCGCGTATTACACGTTGGGGAAGTAGGAAAATGGGGCTTTTACTGAAAAACACATATGATGCAAAACCAGGCTGCCAAAAGCCATAGTATTTAAAATGGGATTGTGAAACTCGTTATCTTACATCTATCAAGCTTATGTAGTTATATTCCGATGGGCAACACATAAAGAAACACTTACTGTAGAGAACAGCCGATATTTTTCGTTACCCCTGCCAAAAAATAGCCAAGTATACTCATCTTTCAATGTAGCGGATCGACTGAACATTAAATCTTGTGATGAGAAAAGTGAATTTTCGGTTTATCCTTCGTCTCAGTGACCGGTGGCAGTGAGCTGTACGGCCGGCTAAGTTTAAACCGTTATACAGTACATCATTACTGCTTTCATTCTTTCAATTCGTTTTGAATATTCGGAATCATTCACAATATTATAGAACTGTATAAGATAGCTGTAGAACTATAAATGCTGCAGAATGAAATAAATAAAGAAAAGTAAGTTTTCAAATCGCGGTATTTGCCGATAAATCGGTAATCGCTACAGAAAAACAGAACAAATTACAGTATTAAAATCACAACAAACAGCGGAAGTGGGACAATTTTTGTATTTTTACTGTAAGACAAGTAGAACATGTACGAAATCCATACAGAAGTGTGTGTGTATTCTATACTTTTGAAACAACTAAATCAGACTTCGGAAAATTTGACCGTATTAAAGCTGCTTTTGGGAATTTAGATTTTAGGTCTTCGTTTCACATGTACCCAGACCAGTAAATATTTTTGAGTTTTGAATTTTGTGTATAAATCAACACCAACGCCTCAAAGGCGAAAAGGAGGGCAAGATTGTTAGAATTGCTATTGTAAACATGAGCAGTTTCGAGCATAAACATAAAATTGAAACGAGTAATTTTTACACATCTGATTGACTAAATTCAAGAAGCCATTTAAGTGTACGCGTATTTGTTACAATTCCGATCAACTCTGCCGTGCAGCACGGCAGAGCCAGAGGCAGAGTAAATTGTAAACAAATTGTAAGCTTGTGAGAATCAAAGTTCAAAACTCAAAAATATTTACTAGGTACATGTAAAACAAAGACCTAAAATCTAAATTCTCAAAAGTAGCTTTAATACTGTCAAATTTTCCGAAGTCTGATTTAGTTGTTTCAAAAGTATAGAATACACACACACTTCTATATGGATTTCATACATGTTCTGCATGTCTTACAGTAAAAATACAAAAATTGTCCCACTTCCGCGGTTTGTTGTGATTTACTGTAATTTGTTCTGTTTTTCTGTAGCGGTTACCGATTTATCGGCAAATACCGCGATAAAACGTAGTTTTCTTTATTTATTTTATTCTACAGCATTTTATAGTTCTACAGCTATCTTATACAGTTTTATAATATAATAGTGAATGATTCCGAATATTCAAAACGGATTGAAAGAATGAAAGCAGTAATTATGTATAACGGTTTAAACCGGCGTAGGCCGTACAGCACACTGCTCACTGGGACGAAGGATAAACCGAAAATTCACTTCTCTCCATGACAAGCTTTTATAATGTTCAGTCGATCCGCTACATTGAAAGATGAGTACTTGGCTATTTTTTGGCAGGGGTAACGAAATATATCGGCTGTTCTCTAAGTGTTTCTTAATGCGTTGGCCATCGGAATATATAATATAACTACATAACTCATAAGCTTGATAGATATGTGACGAGTTTCACAGGCACAATCCTATTTTAAATACTATGGCTTTTGGCAGTTTTGCATCATATGTGCAGTAAAAGCCCCATTTTTCTACTTCCTCAACGTGTAAAACGCGAAAAAACTTTATTAATAAGAACAAAAATTTGTAATAAAAATTTGTAGTAAACAGTGTATTTTATTATAAAGGATTTTCGTTTTTCTACTGCTCCGTAGTTCGTGTGCTACGTGCTCCGTGTGCTCCGTGCTCCGTGTGCTCCGTGCTCCGTATGCTCCGTGCTCCGTGTGCTCCGTGCTCCGTGTGCTCCGTACTCCGTGCTCCGTGCTCCGTGTGCTCCGTGCTCCGTGTTTTACTAATAGCCGTATCAACCTACGATGTAAGTTTTAACACGGAGAATAAGGCAACAATCATGGAGATTTCTTAGTTTTAATTCAGTTTTAGGTTTTTCTTCCGCGATTGCAGAACTGCCTGTATGGTATTGCCAATTGTGGATGAAACTCATGTTCTCCGGCATATTGAATAAAAAAATGCACAGAAATACGATCAATCACAAAATCGGTGATTAGACTAGATCGTATCTAGATACATTTCTAAATTAATTTGTAGTTAAATGTCGCCATTGTATTTTTGGCTCTGTACGGTAGCTCTGATCATGAAAACATTTTAACATTTTTTACACGCAACTATTAGCTGATGTCACATAAAATTACTTAATTGATTAATTAGAAAGACCTGCAGAATAAAAGTTCACATGCATAGGAAGATAATTAATTGGTTGATGACTATGGCATAAGCACGTGCATCTGGTACCCTGGTAAGTGACGTTCTATTAACTCAAGTAGTTCGCTTAAATAAAGGACGAATAGAAGCGTACCTAGATCCCTGAGGAACACCATAATCAACATTAAATTTCTCGGAAGACACACCGCAACTGTAACTCTATGTGTTCGCTAAGAAAGATAGGATGTAGACCATTTGAGAACAGTTCCGGATGAGCCGAATTTCAATTGCAAGTGCTGAAGTAGGAGAACATGATCGATGGTATCAAACGCGGCACTATGGTCGAGTAGTACCAGCAAGGTGACGTGTTGCTTATTCATGTTCATAAGTATATCATTCCTCACACGCAGTAATGCTGTCTCGGTGCTGTGGAATTCTCGGTATGCCGATTGATTACCAGGGTACAAATGATGAACTGATAGATGATTATCAGATTGATTACAAACTGTTCTTTCAACTAGTTTTGAAACGTATGGAAGGTTGGAGATAGGTCGTAGACTTTCAAATAGTACTTCCAAGCCTTATTTCTTGAGTCTTGGCTGGACATCAGCCTCTTTCTAGATATACAAGGGAATATGCCAGACTATAATGAAAGGTTAATCATTTTAGTAGTAACAGGCAGAGGAACATCCAGCAATGACTAATTTAGTTGGGATAGGATCCAAGGAACTAGATTTCTTGTTTGACGAAGTTATTCATCGTATTAATACTACCCAGAAGGGATCTAATTCTACTTATGTTTCATGGCGTCAATTAAAGTCAAGGTTTCCCAACGTACGCGCATCGCCCAAGGCGGAATAATGAGAGTATAAGGAGAAGAAATGTCTGCAACCTTATCTCGGTCAATGTATCAAAACCTGGGCCACCGTCGGCTAAAGTAATCCCTAAATGTTTGGTATTAAACGCCAGATCTTTTGCTAAACCGGATGCTGCATTTGCATTATGTACGGAAGTCATTATGAATAAAATAGACATGTGTTTCATCTCGGAGACCTAGTGGCTTAATAGTAGCAGGATTTTATCCAACTTGATATGTCCCAATGGGTATATTACTATACACTTGTAAGGAAAGATCGTTCGGATGAACGGCCGGGAGGCGGTGTTGCAATTTTATGCCGTAATGATTGGAAGATCAACAAACTTGACTTCAACAATACAGTTTTTGAGTGCTTATGGTGTGAAATTCAAGTTAAAAATAATAATAAATATTATGTCGCAGCAATTTATAATCCGTTGGACCCAACATATCCAGAACCTGATCTACTTGACCATTTGTCCGAAAGTTGTGAACAGATCCTGCTCTCGGACCACGGTGCTAGAATAATAATTGCCGGTGATATCAATCATCTAAAAATCACAGACTTGACTAGACAGCGCAATTTGGATCAATTGGTGAAAAAATTTACTAGAGGCCTAAAAACGTTAGACGTATTCCTGACCAATCGCCCATATATATATTTGGAAAGTTCCTACCGTGTTTACGAGTCTTGTCAGATCTGACCACTTAGCCGTTATGGTAGCGCTTCAAACCCTTGCAAAAGCTGAGAGAAAACATGTGTTTTTTAGAGATGTAAGGGAGCACCGTAAGATAGAGATGGAGAAAAGGTTGAAAGAATACAACTGGACCAGTGTGAACAATACAAACGACGCTAGTGAGGCAGTTTCTATTTTAACTGATGCAATTAGAGTAAAGGTTTCCTCGTGATCAAGAGACCCCCCATATATGACTCCACTAGTAAAACACCTTTGCATAATGCGAAATAGGCAAATGAGAATGGAAATTAGCCCTGAACTTCAGGAAAAGATCAATATATTAATTCGTGAGAACCAAATTCGAGCTGTCAAGGATGAAAACAGAAAATTTAAACGAGGGTCAAAGGAATGGTGGAGAACGGTAAATAAAATTACGGACCGTAGTATAAATGTGGACAGGGTTAGCTCTGTAATTGATCACGGATGAATGAATGTTTTCAAAAAAGTAACACGGATACCATTATACAACTCCTGCACCTCTTTTAATCCCGGAAGGTAACCGTATCCCTACTGTCGACGAAAATAGTGTTAAAAACATTATGATAAATTTAAAACGAACTGGACCAGGCCCTGACAGGTTTCCATACTGGTTACGGAAGGATTTTGCATCATACCTTGCTCCAGTAGGCCTACTCACTCGGATATTGAATTCCTCATTGGAACAGCAGTGTGTCCCTACCCTGTGGAAATTAGCCAACCTTGCAACGATTCCAAAAGAACTGCCTTTGTCTAGTTGTGATCAGTTATTAAGACCTATCAGTATCTCATTGACAAATATAATAATGACACTTTTCGAAAAACTTCTTTTTAAACAAGAAATAAGTATGCAGTCGAATTTTATTATTGGAAAGGATCAATTCGCATATAAGACAGGCTCAAACACTACAACTGCCCTCATTAAATGTCAACACCAGTGGCTTAAATGGTTGGACGATGAAGAAGTTGATTCTGTAAGAGTAATTTCCTTCGATTTTAGCAAAGCTTTTGGTACTGTTCCCCACGATATTGCCGGCTGTGCGAAAAGCTAAAGGAGACACTGAATCTTAATCCTTATGTTATCAACTGGATCTTAGACTTTTTAACAAATCGGAAGCAACGAGTCGTGGTAGATGGAATTTCTAGATATCAACAGGGGAGTACCACAAGCAACTGTAATGGGCCCTTTCTTATTCTCACTCATGCTTAATGATATTAATCTCGAAGATCCCGAGGGTAATCTATTGATTAAGTTTGCGGACGACTTGACTGTTAGTCGGCTCCTGTGAAACCTACTCGAGACTCGGCAGCTAGCGAAGTAAAGAACATTAAAGGATGAGATTATCTATAGTGCGAGCTGCGAGTTGCGAGCTGCGAGTTGCGAGCTGCGAGTTGCGAGTTGCGAGTATATTGTTAATTTCTAATAATATCGGGTTTAATTTTAACCCAGGGTTAACATTAACCTAGCTTTGAAGCACCGAACCAGGTGTTTACACCTGTGGTTTACACTAAAAATTCAAATTGAAAACTGTATGGCATCCTGGCGGATGTGATTTTAGCTTTGTCTCAATTTGGCGCCAATTTTCAGCTTTTGAAATAAACATTCATTGCATTTATTTTTGTACTTACAAACTTGTAAATAGCAATCGTTTTGATATACTGATGGTTTTTTCCCGTGTTTAGATAAAGTTTATGTATGTATAGGTATGTCTATGTATAAATTGTATAAAATAAATTGTACTTCCGATGAAAAGGACTTGAGTTTTATAGGGTTCCCAGCGTTCAGTATATATAAACAAACTGAGTCGGTGTCTGGTCATACTTACCAATAAAATTAAATAACCATTTTAAGATTAGACAGCACAAAATGGTCTGGATAACTACAAGATTTTATTAAACACAGAAACGGCAAATATAAACTTGCACTTTTATTTTCAATATAATTATTTTAATTCTTGAACATACGTATCGATGGATCTAACAAAGTAAAAAAACAAGTAAAGGCCGATTTTTATCTCGTCCGTATCGTAGCATTTTCTTTTGTGTCGAAGTCTTAGTTACAGGGACCTTAACTTCGAAGGTCATTATATTTATGAAACAAAAAACCCTTCGACTTTCCCTTCCATGTCGTCCATATTAATATACTTTCAAAGCCTAATTCAAAGCGAGGCTAGCGACTCGCAACTCGCAGCTCGCAACTCGCAACTCGCAGCTCGCAACACGCAACTCGCAAAATAGCCGACCCCTTAAAGGATGGACGAGTGATAATAGGATGGCTTTAAATCAAGGCTCGAATTTTATCGCGGCAATTGCCGTAGAAGGATAACAAAATGCCGTGGATCAGTGCGGCAACGACGGCAATTTTTTGCCGTATTGTGTAATTTTGTGAGACAAAAGAAATGACGTTTTCTGTGAAAAAATAATTGCAAATGGAAGGTTGCCTTAGTACCTTAAGTCTTAACATCTTATTGTTTAAATAATAGCCAGCTTATAGGTATATACGATATAAAAAATATGTTGTAAACGATTTTTTTCGTTGACATTGTTATGTTGTTAACATGCTATTTGATGTTGTTGACCTTGCAAATTAAAGTAATTGGTTCAATATTTTCTATTGATCAAATCATGCGTAAATTACTATTTTAGTCTCAGTTTTCTTCGAATAAAACACACTAAGGAAATACGTAAACATGTTTCTAGCTTGTCAACAATCCAAAGTTAAACAATAAAATAAAAGTTTTATTAATTTGAAAAAATGCCGTTGAAATTGCCAAAATTAAGAACAGCTGTTACGTTTTAACGCCATTGCCGTCGATTGACTTCAGGGAAATTCGAGGCCTGCTCTTAATATGTCTAAAACATGGGAAATGGTTGTTCGTGGCAGAACAACAGAAGCCATTACGCTCCAATTGGATGGTATTGAGCGCAAAAACTGGTTGAAACTTCTCGGAATGGCTTTTCAGGACGACCCTTGCTGTTGGGATTTACAAGTCGACATCCTGCTATCGAAGGTTGCTAGCCGTATGTATATCCAAGAAAATCAGTCAGACGTTTTGTACGCCTCCATTTCCTTTCTGCTTTCCATCTCATATACGCTTTGCACATTTAATCTCGTCATTGTACCATGGGACAACAGGCCTGGTGACAATAGTCTTGGATATCAGTGGCTTGATGATTTAGAGCAGATAGATATTACTATAGCATGAAACCAGGTCTGTAAGATTGCATGGTGGGTTTTTACAGTGATCGGAAGAGGATGTTTCTTCTTTTAAAGCCTTAATATTGACAGATTTAAGTTCACGAAAAGAAGCATGTTTCTGTGCTAGTAGAACTGCGTTAGATTCAAGGTTACAAAGAACAGCGTTGTGGTCAGAAAACAAATGGTCAACCCTGGGAATGCTGGTGATGATATTATCAGTCTGCTTGCTGCATGGTGATGTGATATTACATCAAGGGTATGGCCGGAGCAGTGAGTGGCGCCTCTGACATGCTGTTTTAGAGCAGTACTTTCAAGGAAATCAAGGAATTTAATGGAGTCTAAGTTATCCGTACATCGACGTGGCTGTTAAAATCACCTGTTATTAGGAGGAGACAAAGTAATTGATTCCTCGAGTTTGGTAAACTCAGAGAAAAATACACTTGTAGACACTGGATGAGCATCTGAGTACAGAGGTCGATACACAATGACCACAATGTTGGTAATTTTGTTCACTTTGCCCTTTAAGCAGCAATCAAGAATCTTCATTTTACTGTTTCACTCTGATCGGGCTTTTTTGGGTTGTTTTTGTTTTTTTGTTGTTTTTTTTTTTTTTGGGGGGGGGGGGCTTAACCCCCTCCCACTTTTACTTATAGGGGCTATAGTCCCCTTAGCCCAGCTCCCTGTTCCGCCGCCCCTGGTATGTTTAATTAATGTATGGGAGTATTGCGTGGAGCCTCAGAGATCCTCAGAACGTGGAGCACAGTGACTGGACTATGGTTGATGAGGGGGAATTTTTTCTGCCTACTTAGCATGCTGATCGATGCGGAAGAATGTGGAAGTCATTGCGGAATGCAACAAAGCATTGCAAAGGAGACGAAGTAAAAGTGGACGCTGTATCGCTGTTGAGCAAGAGTGTTTATTACGGTACGATAGCAGAATTTTTGTTAAATTAGGACAAAATTGAAGTCATTATATATTATATAATTAATAAATTGAGAGAAATTATTAGTATTTCAACAGCCCTATTTTTAATATTTTGTATGAACACGGTTGATGTCTGTTGAAGCAAAACCATATAACAGCTTGCTGCTTTATTCTCGGTTCATCTCGTATGGTTTTCTACAGCATAGGATATAACTTTAGATTGGTTTGACTAAGAATGACAAATTGTAGCAAATAAGGATATTTCGATCCTATGAGATTTTTCATGATTTTTGGCATCCACAATCGAGTGACTAGCATGCGAGACGTTGGTCGAGCCTTGACGGCCCTCGACCCGCGCGCTCTTTCAACTTCCCAAGTGCTTGACTGAGCTCTTAGGCTTTCTAAAACTCGTAAAAAAATTTTGTAATTCAAAAATTTCAATTTCTCCTAGGATAAGCAAATTATACTAAAACGTTTCTGATTGGCTACTTGAAAATCGGCTGATAGTTGGCCATGGCCTTGAAATTCTATGAAATCCGAGTTAGGCTTGAACAGCGCAAGGCCAAGCATAAATAGCCTGAGTATCAGCCCCTCGGTATTGCCACGTGGTATTGCGGCAATACCAAGGAGCTGATACTCAGGCTAAAGCATAAATAATTATTAGTTTCACGTCCTATCTTTTCAACAGAAAGGATAGCCTGCAACAGAAAGGATAGCCTGCATAGCAAACGGTTTTTAAACCGTCAGCTACGCAGGCTACAGAAAGGATAATGCAGGTCAATGTTTAAATTTCTTGAAAATTAACACAACTTGGTTACCTGCATGGTCCTGGTATATAGTTATAAATATGACATACAATGCATTCACAAGTTATGTAACGTTATTGGTTATTTATGGCTTGAAACTACGCTTGTTTTTAACTTTGATAATTTTAGCCTGTTGTTTGCACTCATCATACAAAGGATACGTGCAGTTTGGAGTTGATTTCTGGATCTGAAAATGTAGTAGCCAGTGTAGCAGGCAGTGTTAAGCCTGGTTCACACTGGTCGTAATTCATCGGCAATCTATTGTATTCTTTTCCGACAGACAAAGCATCGACCACAGACAATGGAAATCCCCGATTCTTACAACCAGTGTGAACCAGGCATCAGTTGGCACTGCCAAGCAGGCTAAAACGTGTGGCGTACTGTAGTATGTGGCTTCTATAGGATAGGAACAAGTGAGTTTGTCGTTGACTGATTGACATAAACATGCCCAAGTATTTCCGTTTTTCTGATATGCCTATAGCCTGGCAGTGAGTGCGTAGCTGACGTGTTCGCGTGTTTATAACTGTATATTATCAGCAAAGATTTTTTCGGTCAAGTTAATCTCAATGAAAAATACGCAAGCCGTCGCTAAGGATTTTTGTTCCTCTTTCTCTGATTTTCCTGCTCTTCTTGTAAGATTTTCAATGCCGTACTTGAGGAACAAATGAATAAATACAGCGTGGCATGGACGCAGATATTTGTCTGTGTTTTCGGAAATGTCAAAAGCAAAGGGATTTGAGAACGGATTAATGTGGAGGTAGCCTCTTACGGAAGCCCAGACATGACACCTAAGTACGTTTTTCACTTTTACATTTTTCAGTTCGTGATTTTTCGGTTCGTGATTTTCGGGTTCTTGATTTTCAGGTTCTTCATTTTCAGGTTCTTCATTTTTAGATTTTAGATTTTTAGGTTTTATATTTTTAGGTTTCTAGCTTTTTAATTTTTAGATTTCATAAATTTGAAGATAGTAAATAGCAAAAATGGGCCCGATTAGCTATATAGAGCGGCGATTAAAAAACACATATACTGCCGACTGCCGTGATACGATATTATTCATCGTTTTAATAGATAATTGTAACTCACTAATTCTCATATATTCAAGCTTAATATTCAAAAGTAAAACTACGGACGTACCGAGGGATATCTGGTTGGTGGATGGGAGCCCCTTTCCTTCCGGACTGGCGGACTGCACCCCCTCCTCAAAAATATTTTCCTGAAAATGTTGGCGACGGGGGGAGAAGGGGAAGAGGCGGTCGACGTTTTCGTGCGAAAATAAAACGTCCCAAAAATATTTCCAAAACCTTTTTTGGGATAATCTGAGGGTTAAAAATACGAGTTTTCCGAGCTTTTTGGACCTGGATTTTTCACAGTATTCCTTAATATTTAACACGTTCCGCAATTCTAACATTTCGGGCCCCCCTTCCTTGACTTTTCTTTGGGGGGTGTTATACTCATCAACCCCCCTCCAGTAGTTATGGCCCTGAGTAAAACATTATTCATTTTTGGTATGCCAGTGTATGTATAATATACTGTTTGTCAATAATATTAACAGTTACTGATAGAATATCCTCAGAATTTTCACATTTCGCTTGGCAAGAGGAAGCAAGTCGAAAGAAAGCTCTCCATGCGAAGTGGCTTTAAATTCAATTGTGATGCGCAAATTAACCTTCTATTCGGCATAAAAGCGGAGGATAGAACATGGTCCCTATATATAAAAAAGCGTGGTCCGTCAGCGATCCGGCGTTGAGACCCAAAAAAGAGTGGACCGGCCCTCGGAATAACGTGTAACCATGGAAAAGTGCAGGTCACTACTCACTAGAAAGTATACAGGGTGTATCAAAATAAACGCAATTCATCTTTTGTGCTTAATAACTTTCGAAATACTATTTCTAGTTAAACGCTTTTAGGCTTACTTCAAAGCCTGTTCTTTTCTCTTTCAAACAAACTATTATCCTTGTCTCCAATGCTAGTAATAATTGCACAGGAAAAGATTTAGTAAAACCTATCATTTTTAGTTGCTGTTTAATTATGCAAGTTTACTATGTTATTGTTTAGTTGGTTTAAATGTTAGAATTTTCTTCTTTAAACTTTAATGTTGTCGTCACTACATCTGGAAAACCACGTAAGAACAAATTAAAAGTATTTTAAAAGAGACCAGGTTGTTTAAAAATCCTAAACGAATGCTAAAAATCGTCAAAACATTCTGGTGTCTGAGCTAGAGTGTCATCGAATTGCGATGTAATGTAAACAGAAATTATAGCAAGTTGATGTCAGTCGGCTTAGATGGTCCAAGCCAAAATTATATCGCATTTGAAGTTTCAAACTGAGTTAAAATAGTGGAAGAAAAGCCGTAATTATACTTATTGTTACAATCCATATAATAAAATGCAACATTTTTTTGTTTTAATGAAAAAATCAGTTATTTTCATGACAACGATTTGTTATTCCATATCTCAATTTTTTTAATCTCCAATCGCAATAACGTAAAGTATATTCCATAGCAGTTTAATACTATAATGTTATTAAATGACTATGATTATATGCCATTAAAAGTTTAATTAACGTTTACAGTCGATTTCACAAAACTTTGACCATTGTTGCGAAGTTCAAAAGTTCATAATGAGATTCACAAACCAGTTTGTAAACTACGCATTTGATTGGCTTCTTTTACTTCACGGACCAATCAGGGACTTTGTTTACAAATTGGCTTGTGTATTCCAATATGAGCTTCCGAACTTCGCAACGAATTTGCGAACTTCGCAACGAAGTTCGGAACATTTGTGGTCAAAGTTTCGTGAAATCTACTGTAAAATCGTCCCCGGGGTGGGCCATTTTCCACTCTCAGCTTGCCCAGGGGCTGTGCATTAGTCTTCAAGTTGTGTCCCGGCACCCGGGCATTTACACTATCATAACCAATCAAATCAAATGCCCGGGTGTGTTCCCGGGGGGGGGGGGGATGGTTACTCCTGGAATTGACTCGTGCATTAGTAGAATTTTCAGTATTTTTGCTCGAATTGTCGAATTTATCGATCTTTGGTATAGTCAACATACATGACTGACCGCAGTGTCCGATATTATATACAATAAATATTGCTTTATAGAATACTTACAAAATTAAAAGGAAAAGACTAGTCGCCCCATACACAAAGATCTTTCTATGTCTTTCTTATTAATTATTATAATTAAAGTTATCTTTACAAAACTGATTTTAAACCACTGATTTAAACACTTAAATACAAGCTTTCACCTACAGTACTGCATGTGTTTATTGCGTGCACCAGTGGTGTTGTTTTGCAATTTGTTTGTATAGCCGTATAGTGTGTACAGTGTGTACAGTGTGTATAGTGTGTTTAGTGCATATACCACGTTTACTGGCTGTGGAGTAGTATTGTTTGTACAGTGTGTATAGTGTGTTTACTGCATATACCACGTTTACTGGCTGTGGGGTAGTATTGCTTGTACAGTGTGTATAGTGTGGATAGTGTGTTTACTGCATATACCACGTTTACTGGCTGTGTTGTAGTATTGCTTGTACAGTGTGTATAGTTTGCATAGTGTGTTTAGTGCATATACCACGTTTACTGGCTGTGGGGTAGTATTGCTTGTAGAGTGTGTATAGTTTGCATAGTGTGTTTACTGCATATACCACGTTTACTGGCTGTGTTGTAGTATTGCTTGTACAGTGTGTATAGTTTGCATAGTGTGTTTAGTGCATATACCACGTTTACTGGCTGTGTTGTAGTATTGCTTGTACAGTGTGTATAGTTTGCATAGTGTGTTTACTGCATATACCACGTTTACTGGCTGTGGGGTAGTATTGCTTGTATAGTGTGTATAGTGTGTTACTGCATATACCATGTTTACTGGCTGTGGTTCATGTGTATGGTTTGTATACTATGTATATAGAGCTATAATGTGATTACATGACGTTTTTCTATATTTGTGCGCGAAACATAATCGAATAACCATACTCTCAGCATCATCCAAGAAATAGGCTGTGGGCTGTTGTGCAAAAAAGTGCCTAGAAAAGCAATTTCGTGGCACCCTCCTGGGAAATAGATTTTCTGTTGTTCAATTCATAGAACCATAGATGCTTAATTACCACAAAAAGTTCCCAAGCAAAAAACCTGCCCAACACCGAGAAAATGAGTGATCAGTGATTATTCTCTATTAAATTGTATTACAGCAAGAAAATGTAACATTTTGTATTCAATTACAACAAAAATGACTTGTATTATCAGAAAGCTTACAGAAACCTACATATAAGACATTTAAACTGTTTTTTTATATCTATAATTGTTTTCGAGTTATACGCTGTCAAAAACGCGTTTTTGACCTAGTACCCAGTCCTTATTGCGACATTTTGGTCCAATTTTCACATTTAAAACAGCAATAACTCAAATACTTTACTCAAAAAACTGTTTAAAAGTCTTATATGCGGTTTTTTGTACGTTTTCCGATGATGCAAGTCATTTTTATTGTAATTGAATACAGAATTTCCCATTTTTTTGCTGTAATACAATTTAATAGAGGATAATCATTGATCACCCATTTTCTCGGCATTGGGCAACTTTTTTGCTTGGGAACTTTTTTTGGTAGTGATGTACCTATATGCCTTTCAACTAAACCCCAAACCAAGTATTTCCCACATGGGTGCCACGAAGCGAAATAATTTTGGCCAACAGCCCACAGCCTCTTCAAACACTTTCAGATTTGCATGTGGCTGAAAATCGTCAGGCCTTTTTGGATTCCCTGATGCATCAGCGAAGGCTTTCTGAAAAATTCTTATAGTAAAACTCTGGAAGTTTCATGTAATCTGGCCAAGGTCTAGATATTCTATCCATTGGCATGCCTTTCCAGTCTGTGTCATTACAAAATTTGCACTTGGTTCCATTTTTGTCCACACAAGAGTCCCTTTAGTACTCCATGTATAGCTCACCTACCTCATAATGATCTTCCAAAAAAAGAATATTTTCTTGAAGTAATAGGAACCAGGCAACGACATCTTGGTTGTCTCAGGTGCTGCTGAAAACTTCTTTAACTGGTCTTTATTAAAAAAGAATTGCCTGTTAGATTTTAAAAACTGGAGACTTCTACTAATGAATTCTGGTAAAACAGGAGCACCGTCCACGCGATCCACAAGCCGATGAGTAACATTCCAGGGGTTCTTTTCTATTCTCTCATCTTTGAGAGATTGTCTCCTTGACCAAAAGATTGGCTACATCTGTCTCACTCATACCTTCAAAGCATTTATGGGTTTCCCAATGTATTGTACCACCATCAACAATGGCATCTCCTGTAACAAATTATTATTATTTGTTATTATTATTATAACTTATGCTTATGAACGGAAAATGAGTTTTGGCAATTCGAACAAAGCATAAATATTGAGATAAGTTATAGAAAATTTCAGGCACTATTCAAATCACCAATTTAGATTTTATAAGTTGTA